CACTGTCCGACTGACACATCACTTACCCTGTGACGTAATAAATATTAATGCGCGCATTCCAGGAAGACTCGCAATGTTTCGGTATAATGTTTGTGAGAGAGGGAAAGCGATTTTGAAGCACAAAATTAAAGAATGACATTATATGATAAAGAGGTTATCACGCTTGTGTGTTTGGAGATGGTTAATATCCTGTATTAGGAATAAACACTATGTTAATTATTTAACTCGCCAAGGCTAGCTAAATACAATGTTTATTCCTAATGCAGGATATTTACCATCCCCAAACACACTCGCGTGATAACCTCTATGTACGAAGCGTGGATTATGTCACGATGAACCATTGTTCTTGCATGACGTCATTTCTGGTGATTCTAATACGCGCTCGCAATGTGACGTCATATATTGGACGATGTTCTTTTTTAGAGGGAACTGTCTATGATTAGCTGTTCCCCATAGATGTAGCTGGGGTACGCACATAAACACAGTGGCTGAGAGATCGCATCCAAAAGTAGCAGAGATGTGACAATCGGTATCAGGAGAAAAAATACAGAAAATCGACGTGAGGATTGTGAGAATATGCGGGAAATACCAAACTTAACCTGTTCGGAAAGTTGAATGGTCCGAGGTCGGATGTGTGTGTGTGTGTGTGTGTGTGTGTGTGACCATGCTCGATTGCTCTCTGTTGTTTGATCATTAACCCCCTGGATGCCAGAGGGACATATATATCCCTCCTCTACAACTCTTACTTTGAAGTCGACTAAAATTCATAATACATCACCCACGCATATACACATCACAGTTTTGAATAAGGTGGGAAATTCCCTGTTCTGTGATATCATCCACTTGCATTTTAGGCCAAGCAAAAGTACTGAAGATGACCTCTGTAAATATTAAGTACATCGTAAATGTCGCCATTATTTTTACACATTACTAAATCCCCACTCACGGCGTTATTTACAGTATGTTTTGAAATCTAACTTTCGGATATACTTGGAGAAATGAATTACAAAAGTAGCATATTAGTGATCACGGGTATCTGTCTTATATGAAATCACCAATGATCATTCCAAGACGTCTCCGATAACCGTAGAATCGCTTCGAATGTTTTGGAAAATACACAAACACGAACGCCGAAGTGAACTTTCCGCCATATTGGATAGTGTTTACAAAATCACGTTTCAAGTACACCGGTTATGAGGCGCCTGTAACATCACGTATATTTCAAACTTAGCTGCCATACCTATATCCTTGAATTCCTCATACATTTCAGAATCAAATGACCAATGGTCTTTGTCACCAATACAAAGTGGCTGGATGAAATCAAGCAATATAAGTTAGGTTTGAAAACGAACGCTGTGCTCGAAAAACTGCACTTGTTTGAAATGTAAACAAAGCAAAATTCAGATTTTACACTGTGTAGCATTTTCTCCTATTTTGAGCTATCCATTCGTCTATTCGTTCAAGATATTGGCATTTTCAGAATATGCATGGGAAGAGAATCGTAGGAAGAATTAGGGAATTTAAAATAGATACATTGCAATGATTTGATATTCTCAACAGAAATTGTCAAAGTTACCGTCCTGTGTACATGTGACGCCATGACTGACACAAAATCACGCACAACGACAAAGGTATTTATCGGAAGTTCTGACTATTTCCGTTGGTTTCAATGATAATTATAACAACAAATAACAGTACATAGATTGTCAGAATGTTTCTGATTACTTACATGTCACATTTATGTTTATACGATCCCTGAATCAACGAAAGTCCCGCGTACTGTTGACAGTGAAAACGCCATTTTGTAAAACTGGGTCACCAGTAGTGATGTCATACGTCAACATTGTTGTATATATTTGGTAATGTTTTTTAGATGAAGGTCCTTGAATGAGAGTGCACACGATCATTGTATCATGCTGTTACAGTTTCAGTTATGATGTAGATTTTGCATATCTATTATAAATTTTTTCACACAATTAATTTAACTTTGGATATTTGTCAATGTTCAAAATAATATCATACGTAAATATAGGCCACAACATGTGTAGACAAACCTTTTACAATCTCCTGTTTGTTTGAACATTGTTTACATAAGAATTGATAGGGAAATTTATAGTGTCGAATACGATAATTCTTTCCTTTGGACAAGTGTTACAAGATGAAGTGTAAATGTAACTGCAGCATGTACCTATTTCTTTGGATATGTAATAGTCAATATTATAAGTTCATATAACCAATGTCCATGAATAACCGTTTAATTTTATTTTATAACTAAAACTGAATATATTACTTTAATAAAATGGATAATATTTTTCGTTAACATATATACACACATTTCAAAAAGAATTGTCTTGGTCTTGGAATTGTTTTTTTAATGTCGTTTGATACACAGAACAGTGATATCTAACAATTTGCCAGGTGCGCGTTAGTCACAAACAATTTACGAATTTATCCTCTCGTTTTGCAATATATATCAATGGGTTCATTCCTTTTTCAATATTGTGATCACAGGATATTAAAATGTTTACTTTATTTCTCCAGGAATTGTAAACAGTATAAAAATAAAACCCATGCCATGTACCCCGTTGGTTCAACCTTATATGATTATCCTGATAATTCTACCAATGGAGCTTTCTTTGCATCTTTTAGTGTGTATTTCTGAGACGAGATGAAGAGAAATAATAACATAATAATGAACAAATATATGTCGAATTTTGAATATAATTTTGGTTGTTTTGAAATATTGTTTTGGGTATTTCATTACATAAATTGATGCCAAACAGGTACGTGTCTTGTCCACTTAAGATACACGATAAACTATCTAATTGTTTATATACTAGTATTCAAGACATTATTTACTTGGTGAAAGCAGCCATTTTATGTTGTGTCGAAAAAGTGTCAAATTCCGTTTTACACATCGAAATTTTCCATACCATGAACAAAAATTAAGGGAGATATATGTATTAATCAAAATACCAGTGTCGTCTTTCTCCGACGTTATCAAAGACATAACACCAGCCATGACGTCAAATATAATGGTGTTGTTTTGTGTGTGTATTATATTACATTTGATGATAAGGCTAGTGCTCCATCAATAATGGTGCAACATTAGTCAAATTACACTTACACGATCAGGAGAATGTTGGAATCTAAGGACTAAGTTATAGGCTAGATAGGGCCATCCATTCTATTACCTCATTTTTATGAAGAACGATTTCATAATTTCTTATATGTTTTTGTTATAACTAAACAGTTTTATTATCGATATTTGTGTTAGAATACTTTGGTTCCTCGTGAACAAAACACCACGAAAATATAATGTCCTTACCCACAGCTAATTCTCACCAAGTGACCTGAGTTACAATAAACTAGTGCTAAGCATAGCGGAGTTATGCCCCCTTTCCTTTGTACGCGTGTTACCTCTCTGTCGTCTTTGTCGTCATAGAGAAAAATCAGTTTTCGTCATTTACGGCATGCTATTTTTGGCATTGAATGTATGTCGTTATACATAAGCATAATTATAACTCCATTTGATATATAGTCATGTCGTTCAGATATTAGGCAGTAGTTTGTTCTCTCACAGTTTCCGTAAAACTTCTAAATGAAAATAATCGTCGCACAGTACTTTTATCGGTGTACGATAATTAGCGGAGAAATTTACTGTTTTTCAACGCAGAATAAATTCTCGGACAACACTTAGAAGTGTCTTTTTTAAAACCGGTTTAATATTTGCAGTTAAATGTACACCATCTAATAGGAAATTTAATATTCTCCACCTCTGCGTAATTCTCTAGCCAGAGGTAGATCCAGTGCCGCGTGAGCGCAATTTTCGCACAACCTTCACTTTTCCGATCTTCGGAAAATGTGCGTCGGAAAAAAAACACCTCGGCATCCAGAGGATAGCGGCTTTGCATCTGAAGACTGAGTTATGTTTTACCGAATTAGCAGTTGATTACGAAAAACATTCAAACGATGTCCATCCAACTTCACGCCATCGCATTGTTGTCAGTAGTTCGTGCCATCACTCTAGGACGAGGAATATGTCTGCGCATGCGCATGCCTCATAGGTGCGCTCGTAAAATATGAAAATATCAAAATTAAAAGAAGCGCATCCTTTATATTCATTTTTTTCTTTTCTGACTGGACACCCTTAAGACTGTATGTACACCCCTTAAGACTGACTGTACACCATATAAGGTTGACTGTACACCCATGCAAGACTGTCTGTACAACTCTGTAAGACTGAC